ATAGAAAAAATCTTATTAGTTGTCTTCTCAAGCTACATATGAAAGGTATATTCGTCAATTAAAAATAATATTAAGAAAAATACAGATTCCACCTTCACAAATACTTGACTTATCACAAGTACTATTTTTTAAAAAACTTTATCCCATGACTAATTCTAGTTTAAAAAGTAGAAATATATTCATAAGGCATAGACGATGAACTTGTTAATTAAAGTGCCAAAATGGGTTGTTGATCCAAGGAAAGCATGAATTAACATATAGTTGCAATTCGGAGGTAAAATCTTAAGACCATCCAAGATACAAAAAATATTTTTATGAATTTTTGCTGAAAATATTTTTTTATAAACTTAAAATACAAAATATAAAATAATAAATATACCTTTTCCCCTTGCTTCCTAAGTATTTTGATTGATTCCGCAGTTTAATTGTGTGTAGAATTGAACCATCTTTATTGTAATATTTTGGTTGTTTGTCATCATTCTCGATATTTATTTCGATTGACTACTAGCTAATTAAGTTGGTAAACTTACTCAGCATTAAATCTAAAAATTTGATATCACCATTCCCTAATAAGGTAGCAAATGATCATACTAAGGTTATCCTTCTTTCATTGGCAGAGCCAGAATTGTCTACTAGCATAGAATCATAAGTTAAGACAAAATTTAAAACTAAAATAAAAACATGAGGAATACAAATACTTTATTATATCCTTTTCTTAATAGTTTCGTTAGTAAAGAATCAAATACCATACAATTGTTTCTTTTTTTTTTTTGGCACTTACATCTTTTTATAATCAAGTAGGGCATAGTTAAAGTCTTTATTACAAACTTGAAGTACATTGCAGTTGTTTCACTTTTTTTTTCGCTTTATTTTTGTTTTTTGCTTCTAAGTTCTAACCAAGTGGGACATAATTAAAGTTTTATTACAAAGCGGAGCATTACTACAACGACATTTATTTTCGTATATGCTTTTTTCCCTTACATTATTAGAAAAGGGAATTTTTCTGATAAAATCATAAAAAATAAATTATTAATAATTTTATATTTTTCAGTTGTTTAGATCTGTATCAGATTCTGTCTATTCTGTATATTTTTAAAATTTAATATGATTTTACCTAAATTTAACAGTTAGAAACTGATATTATCGGTAAGTATGTCTACCTAGAAAAGTCTCAAAAACACTTGCTGCATCATTAAAAAAAGCATGAATATACGATGTTGCTGCATGCATAGTTTAACTATAAAATCTAAATGAGATCTAAAGTTCAAATTTCCTACCCCTAAGTTTCAATTTAATTTTGTCTTCTTTTTTTTTTTTTTAAAGTTTTTTTTGTTAAGAAAAGAACAAGAATATGGGGAAAGTTAAACTTAAGCCCTAAATACTGGTTTAAAAAAGAAACCTCATATTGGAGGCTGGTAAGATTACCAATCAAGATAAGCATAAGAGCCCTCACTAAGTTATTATTAAGAGAAATAGTAGGAAATATGTCAATATGAAAAGCTTAAGAAAGTATATAGGTCATTTTTTAGTTATAGAAATTAATAGGCCATAACTTATCAAGTTATGGTTCATAACCAGATAAGTTATGGACAAACTTGTCAAGTTATGGTTCATAATTAGATAAGTTATGGACAATAACTTGTCAAGTTATGGTTCATAACCGGACAAGTTATGGACGAAAATAATAATTTGGCCTATTTATTAACTTACGTAAATTATTGGCCTATTCATTTTAATTCATCTCAAATCTTGGCCTATTTTTCTCTTTCTCCCTATTATTAATTCTTCTTTTTTGCTTTTTGCTATGTCACAGTTTATTTCAAAGGAAATAAGTGACTACTGTAAATATTCTTTTTTCCTGAAATCAGGTCACTGTTACTTTTTTTTAGGGTCGTTATTCATTTTTACTCAAACCAAATTATTTTGAAATTACCCGTCTCACAAACCATAATGATCCAATTAAAATTTATAAAATTCTAATTATTAACAAAATAAAATCCATTGCTTCAACTTATGCGTGGGATGTCAACAGGATACGATAATGATTTCTAATTCTCAATTTATCTTCCCAAAACCATTCCCATCCCAGTTTAAGGAAATACATGGCTAGGATTGGGGATTCCCAATTCGTACCCATTTTATTCTCCATTTAATATAATTGTGCACTTTAAAATTATGACAATTTAATTAAAACAAAAATAAATATAAATTTACAATAAATTTAAACCGAAATCAAGAACAAGGCAAATTAAATTCTAAACATATAGAAACCAAATCTTTATAATAAAGCTATGAACTAATTATGTTTTAGAGTTCACAACATATTTGTATATATTTTGTAAAATATATATTTTAAGATTATTGGGGAGGAAACAGACTGAGAAGTGCTTCTCCTATCATCATCTCTGTCCCGGCAAGGACTATTGCCATATCTAACTTATGCATACGTTAGAGATTAGAAAAAAAAAAAAAAATGATAATTTTTTTTCAAATGTTTTCATGCAATTTGCATCTTAGTACTCATTTTATGTTTTATTTAGCTTGTATTCGCCTTTTTTTTTAAACGAATAGTTTATAATTTTATGGATTAACTTGAAAAAACACATATAATTCTGCTATTTCATATCTCATAATATATATATATATATATATATATA